AAAAGTATGTTTTGTGTCTTTTTACCCGACTGCGCAATTCAAGAGCGCGAAGCGCATCGCGCAGACAGGGTATAGTGTTTAACAGTCTATATATGTATGAAAGTATGTTCCTTTGTGGCACACTAGAGACTAAACGCGTGGACCGATTTTGATGATTCATACGTTAATCGATTCGTCTTAATCATGGGAGTGCTACTAAAGATGTGATAGTAATCTAAATACATTAAGGGGACAATTAGGCGCCATATTGTATATTGTCGTAAAAAAAAATAAGTTGACGAAATATGTCGAGTGCGATATCATTGCCTAGATAATCGAAAATCATGTTTAGGTTCCTTACACCGTTTTTCATTTTATATGATTGTTTAGGATCTACAACGATTTAAAGTTGTATATTAACCACTTGCGCTTTTAATTTCAATCTTACGTTTGTATGGATCTTTGTTACTCTATCACCTAAGAAATAATGAATGGATTTTAATGAATCTTCACAATAATATAGTTCATACATGATCATAACATATTGATAAAATTCATATAGTTATTGAGTGAATTGGCCAAAATATAACAATAAGTGTCACGTAAGATGGAAAAATGAAATAAAAAGAAAGTAAGGAACAAAACTACTTTAACAGTCGAGACCCATTATTGAAAAAAAATATCCATTCTTGAATATCTAATGGGTCCCGACTGTTAAAGTAGCTTTGTTCCTTATTTAACAGAATTATAGACTACTGGACTTCTTTTTTTCTTTTCAGTTTTTATTGGAAGTAATATAGCAGTCGGGTCTTTTGATTTTTTGCAAAAGTAGTAAGAGATTATGGTGTATTAATTTTGAATGTGCGTTTTATAAGAAATTCGTTGTATTCAAACGAACGTGTTACGGACTTATGAACAGCAGCTTTGGTATGGGCTCCGTCATAAGCTCGTGCATAGACGATTCCCCGTTTAGTCCAAAAATGCTTGAAATTGCCTCTCATCATTCTCTCTCTCCCAGTATACTTCTTAATAACAATTGAAAAATCTAGCTGGTTCCATAAAATACAGCGTAGAAAACTATAGATTAAGCGACGAGGAAACATTAAAAATGTACACCCTCCCTTCCGCTTATTAATCCAAAATTCACGATGGAATATGAGATTGTATTTACCGACCTAGTACCGAGTCTGTAGACAGTTCGGTTGGGTGAGATAGGAGCGTCTTGCAATACTAGAATTCCTGCACACGTTCCGCCTTTGTCTTGTCGACGTGATTACAGCATTGACTAAGCAGACTAAAATTAATAACGTCCCGGTACGCTTGTTGACATTATTTGGTTTCTCTCGTATGCAATTTGAACATCATTGAAATGGGAAATACCGATTTTTTGTGTTGAATTTTTTTATACAATAGAAAACATCTTTAAATCGCTTGGACTTAAGTTGTGTATGGCCCTGTTTTATTCTGTAATACAACAAATATTTATAATAAAACTTATTGTTGACGACCTCCGTGGCCGAGTGGTTTATACGCCGGGTTTCAAGGTGTCCGCCTATTAGAAAGGTCCCGGGTTCGAATCTCGGACGGGGCAGATGTTTGTGTGATGAATTTGTACTTCAGTCATGGATTTTTAATAAATATTTCCATATAAATATACTTATATATGTATCAGTATATGTATTCTATCCATTACCCTAACCCAAAACACAAGCCTAGTACTGCAAGCAGTGTGCAGTGCTTACTTTGAGGCTAGACTAATTAATAATAATAATCAATAATCAAAATCATTTATTCAGTTTAGGCTGTTACAAGCACATATGAATGTCTAGAAGCTAAGCCATCGGTTCGTAAATCTACGGCGGGAGACCTTGTACTGAGAAGAACCGGCAAGAAACTCAGCAAGGGCTGTTTTTTTCTCCCTGTTTTATCATTTACAGAGTCGTCAAGTTGAAAAATGACTTCAGAGATGATTCATGAAGTCACCCTTCATTACATAATGTGAAATTATACATTAATTGTACACCTGCATTTTGATTGCTGTGTCACACAGTATAAATACAAACAGAGTTATTTATAATAGGTGTAATTAAACATTTATATCTTAAATATCAAAGTAGTTAGGGCAGACTCATCTCCGCTGGCAGCACCCGTTCACGAGCATGACGCATGAACCAGCCATCGCTGCGCTCAACCATATTTTAGGGAACGTAACGACCCGCCTCACACGACACCACCGAAGAGACTTTTAAGAGAGCATGACTACCCATAACCACCTATATCAACCACAACATATTTACTTAAACTTAAAGTCATTTATCTGTAGGACACTGCAAACAATTACAAAGCAAAAACAATGGAGAAATCATGACCACGCCGTTTTGTCATTCAAATCTTCTTAAATAGTCTGATATTCTTCCTTACGTAATCAGCTTTAAATACAGCTTTTCAATAAAAGTATCATCAACACATGATCCATAATATATATCATATAGAAATACCCGTTGGAATGGTTGGAACAGTTCAAACCCAAGCATTTTTGTCTGTAATATAATCAGACACTTTATAATAAGCATTCTTAATAAGAGTTTTTTTAATAGTCGATTTAAATTTAGTCAGGCTCAACTCTTGAATATTGCTTGGGACTTTATTGTAAAAGCGAACACAGAGGCCTCTAAACGAATTATTAATTTTGTGGAGCCTAGTAGCAGGTAAAGTTAACTTATTTTTACTTCTAGTATTAAGTGTATGTATTTCACTATTTTTAGTAAATATAAAATATATAATTGGTGCGAGTGTTAAAAATATTTATTTATTTATTATTTTAGTAGCTGATTCCTATAACAACAGGCCACAAGATTTAGACTATGAAAATTTTAAGTGGATTTATCTTGCCGTTTTAATATCAGTTAGAAGCCTTTTTTTATATCGTACGCCTCTCATACATAAATAATGATTAAATTTCTACAACCCCAATTAAATCTAAATATATTTATTTATTTATTTTGCATTCTTGTTGTACAGTTTTGTATAATACCTCTGACACTGTTTAAACTATTATTTTATGTGATAACTAGTTGACCCGTGTCAACTCAAACTCAAACTCTTCGTTGGGCGATGAATATGCTTACGACACAATCGCGGTTCAATATGTCGTATTATCACTTTAACCATTAGCGAAACTACAGGTAACTAACTATATACAGTAAAAGGTAAAAGAATTTTATTTTAAAAACTTGAGACGATAAATTGATTTATTTTGATAAGAATTCATAATTGTTGCTAATGTGATGAATAGACATGACCTAACTTTAAACTATTTTTTAAATATAAAATTTTCTTTATTTGACATAAATATTATAGTTACACATACAGTATGCTGTCGCTGCCTTTTTGTAGGCATTTTCAAAATCAATCATATATCTCTTAATTTTTGCAAGTTCGTATAAGTAAGTATAAGAAACTACCACGAAAAAGACTTTTCATTTACAAAATTATTTCCAAAATCGGTTCAGTAGTCCTCATTATAATTTATTTATTTATTTAATTTTTGATAGACGCATAGTAGTAGACTCATAAAAGCATACATAGATGACGAAAAAAAATTTGTTAGAGATGGCCAAATATAGGTCTCCACGTTTAAAAAGGGTTCCACGTTTGCGAGATGTGGAAAGGCAGAAAGTGGACGCTTTGGAAATGTGGAGCTGGAGAAGAATGCTTGGGGTTTCGTGGACCGAGTTTCGCACGAACGTCTCGATACTTCAAGAACTCGATATCAGGCAGCGTCTATATTCGACAGTACAATCTCGCATCCTAACATTCTTCGGACACGTTTCTCGGCGTAACAACCTATCCATAGAACGCCTTGTTGTCCAAGGAAAGGTGGAAGGTGACTAGACCGCGCGGAAGGTCACCCACGCGATGGACTGACCAGATCAAGTCAGCCGTTGGAGGTTCACTAAACGATTGCAGCAGGATGACGTCTAGCAGGCAGCAATGTCGAAACATAGTGAAGCGCATCACATCTGCCCCCTCCAATAATACTACAAGTTCATAGCGATCACGACCGCTCTGTCAAGAGCGTACCGGCTAAGAAAACGTTTAAAAACAGAAATCTTTATTCTTTTAACATATAAAAATAATAAAAAGAACGTGTGGACAAAATAATAAGATTGGTCTACACAGTCAAGACAATTCGCCCTCTAAACAATGTGAAACAATGTTCTTACATTAATGGCAAATTAATGTTATTATTTAGTTTTAAGTTCAGATAATAACAGATACTTTTAACTTAATTTATTTGGCATTCACAAATAAGCTGGCTGATTCTACTATAAAACTTTTTCTCAGAAGTTAAGTAAAGCCTTACAAGCTGTTCAAGTCATCCTAATTTAGTATTCGTTTGGATTAAATCCCAAGTCGTATAACGGTCCAATTTCTATAGGCCCAATTCAATTCCATCCGATTGGTTCTCATCACTGGGATGCGATGGCACGAATATCGAAACTGTTATAAGCGGCTTAAAGTGCCTTCCGATATACAGCGAAGAGCTATTGGATTCGAACTGTGTGCTGCATCTATAAAGCTAATCGAAAATGTCACATGTGAATACGAACCAATTCACAGTCTGGTTTTAAAACACTGCACAGCTGCTGTGCTATTCAAAGAACAAACCTACTTTTAACCGCGAAATCCACGTGTGATATGAAATTAAAAAAAAGAATTTATATGGATTCGACGGTGAAATATGAGTTTGATCTTACATTGGCACTAGAAAGGATCTCAAACTCATCTCATTTTTAACTGTCATTCTAAAACACTCGTTTTCTTAACTGCATTTTCAATCTTCTAAGGAACGATTTAGTCAACCTCTGGGTATTCCGCCCTTTTGCTCTATTTGCTACACATGTACAAGTAAGACCTATTGTATTATACCAGCTGTAGAAATCTCAGAGGATCTTAAATAATCAAAAAAACTTTAAAGTTTTGTGTATCGTATCTTATTTATTAATTAATCTTCAAAACTAAAGTTGAGCGAACAAGACATCAGCCTTCTCCAAAATAGTCGCCTGTGCACTCGGGAAAAACGGAAGGATATTAGAAATGGAGTCAAGACTGAGCGTCAATATCGCCACCTAAAACAAGTATAATATTATAGCTTAATCTAGTTATTCACCTTTTAGAAAAGTAAAACAATTAGTTTCAACATTTTATTTTTTTAAGCATTTAACTGCTAGATGTTTAAATCTAAAGAAATTTTTACAAGAAAGAATTCCACACGGACCACGTAGTAGACGGGACTCGAACCCGGATCTGCTCAACACTGCATCAAGTTCCATTTTAGTATTTAAAGTGCATATTTAGCATGTCGAAATGCACTGACTATTATGCTACCGCGGCCCTGATGACCGTGTCGAAATTTCTCTAGCAATTCTTAGGCTGCAAAGCAGCGCTATCTCTTCTTATTGTAGGTAACCGACTATGTCAAATGAATACCTTTACAAGTTTTAAACAATTAAAAGTTATTACTGTTATTGTTGGCCGCGGTAGCATAATGGTCAGTGCATGCGTTCGGATAGCGAAAGGTGCGGGTTCGAGTCCCGTCTGCAGCATATGGAATTCTTTCTTGTAAAAAATTCTTTAGATTTAAACTAGTTTCTAAGTTTCATAAAAGTTGTCAAAACATTTGATTGTGAACTTGGTTGGTTTAAATTTCTAGAAGCTCAACACTGCATCAAGTTCCATTTTAGTATTTAAAGTGAAACATTCATTACATCGCCTCTAATTTTTTCGTCCATATTTAGCATGTCGCATTCATTTTTTATTTGTTATTAAAAAAATCATACCTTATCGGTGGTTCAATGGTAGAAAGCTCGCCTGCCACACGGGCGGCCCGGGTTCGATTCCCAACCAAGTAAACACTTTTTTAGAAGAGTGTCAGTCTCTAAGACCTGGAGGCCTACTCTATTTCAACGAAAAACGAATTTTCGATCGAAATTTCGCACGTTCCTTACTCTGTTTCTATTTCAATTCGAAAATTCGTTCGTCCGAAAATAGTTTGACATTTAAATTCTCTAAGCCTACTCTTATTCACAAAACTTTTGAACTAAAAGTTGAATTTGACAGATAATTGTTCGAAATTTTAACCTCAAATTGACGAAAGGAAAAGAGTTACCTTTTCATTTTCGTTTTGGGATTTTTGTTTAAATTAAACCTAAAATTAATACTAGAGTATTTTTAATTAAGGCTGCTTAGCGTGAGGAACATTGTTTAGTATGAAAAATTTACAAATAAATAATTTTTTTGTTTAATATTGTATTGCCAATACTTCAAAGTGTTACACGACAAATTTAAGTTGACATACATTCGATTGCATCAACTCTACAAATTAGTCGGCTAATACTGTCAAAAGAGGTTGTTTTAATGTAATCAAAAATGTTGTCATAAAGTAATATTGTTTTGAAGTAAAAAACGTTATCTATAAAGTGTAGATAAAAGGATCTCACAAACATAACTCATTCCATTCATTCACGATAATTGTCTGTGATTCCGAACTTTACGTGCGTGTTCGAAGATGAAATAGAGTAGACTCACTGGCGAAATTTCGTTTAAATTCGTTCGTTGCCGAAATTTCGTTTCGGAGAAAGAGGGTAGAGCTCCTGGCCTGCATTATCTTTTTTATATCTCTTGAGGCGATGCAAAACACTTGAAAAATCGCACTTGCATCATGGTTGCATTAAACCACACAAATTTTGTACGATGACGGTAGCAATCAAGCGTGGTATCTGCCTTATGAGAAGCAGTATCTTGAAAAGTGCACATTCTCGCAAACATCTTTAACATTCACCATAAACAATGAAGCTTGCACAGTTTTACAAGCAACTTTACATACAAAACGTCTACTGCGCAAGCCTATTTCTATGGTTTTACCCAAATTTTTTCGTGCTAAGCATATGTGAGTGTTATTTTTTTTAGTCTTTTGTAACGTAAATGGTCGTTACTTTTCCAGACTTGGTTTCAGCTCGCCCGCTGGCTCCATTGGATGAGACACGAAGGATGCTGTCCCAAGTGGAGATGCAGCGTGCAGCTTCAGATGCTGCAAATGCTTGAGCTAATCAACAAGTGGCCGATAATCTGCAGCCATTAGATATAAAAGTAGTAAGTAGAATTTCATATCTTTCTTACCTTACTCTCCGCTCTGTAAGAGAAGCAGTGAGCTATCCCTCGGTTCATTCCCTGGAGAATACCAAATACATTGCCAACGGTAAGGGTCTCGTGTGTGGTTTCAGTGAGGTCAGGTCTCACTGATACTACGGAGACGATGCCAGACGCCACCCAAAACATACGAGCATCGCAGTCGCCAGCCACCACTATGTAGTTACCTGATTAATGGAAATAGATTTCATTTTTTACATTTTCATAGGTACCATTTTTTACTTATTTCGAATGAATGTCACGCACTTACGACTTACACAGCCCATTTCAATAAAATACCAGAGAAATCCGATACAGAAATTTATTTTGGTTGTATTTTGTAATGGGCAAGGCAACATATGTAATAAGTCGCAGGTGCGGGTATCTAGAAACTTGGTTGCCAGTGCGATTATTAATTTAATACAATTCCTTGTTTTCCGAATTTCCTACATAGCTAGGTAGGAAGGAAAAACCATACGAAGGAGACGTACTGTAGCTAGAAATGATCGTGAGGGATTTCCCAACTATCTGTGAAGTTTATTCAAAGAATAAAATTTTCTAACCTAATTTTATTTTTACTTTTTTCGAGTCATCTTTTTAACGTCGCTCCGGGTAATTTTTTTTAAAAATACATAGAGGGCATCAAAATCTTCAATTTGCACTTTGGTTTTTCTCGATAGACCCAATTTGGCCCGCAATCGCCAAATTAAGACGTTTTTTTTAAATATGCCATTGCAGCGCCCTCTTTGTAAATATCTAAAAATTTCAAAAAAAAAAAATTAAATATTTATAACCGGAAGTCGGGTACTTTGGGACACAGAGTATTGGCTAATTACTCAAAACAACATGGTCGATTATTCGGATTCAGCATCCTCGAAAATATAAATATTGACCCCAAACAGTGGAAAAAGTAGACAGGACGACGTCTGATATTATGTAGTAGCTATGTCATAATATTCATTTATAATTTTTAACGTGACACAATTAAATATAAGAAATTTAATTGAGACAAACATGTTAGCTTAAAATACAACGCTATCGCTACGCTATATAATTTTGTGCATGCTCACAAATAAGATTTATGCAAACATACACGCCTTACGTTATGTTGAATAAAATACCCTTTAGATGAGAATCAAAAGGGTCTTATAAACAAAAGGCTCTTACAAATTATTATATTCCAAATTTGCTTCAAGGACCTTTAATTAATTAACTTTCAATATAATTTTATTATGAATGAATATACATGAAGCTTCCAACCCAACTTCGTTGAATTATATTTGTGTTATTTGTTTTTCATTGTTATTTGTACTGACATTTATTGATTAGTAACTTCTATAATACTAATGAAATAATTTCGAGTTTTCTTTCAAATTAAATCCCTCTTAGCAAAATTGGTTGCAAATATCATAAAGACATTGAAGTTATGGCTTGGACTAGCCCATTCAGCTGTCCCCTCAACTCTATTTAGAGTTATCTCTAAATAGAGTTGAGGGGGGCTTTTTTAACTTCATCCCATAACTATTCTTATGAATAGTTTTGGGATGAAGTTAAAAAAGCCATCGTAACTCTATAAACATCGATTTAGAGAGTTAGAGTTACCAAGATGCATGTCTTGGGACAAGACCAGGATAAAATAGTCTCATCACTGCCAAAAGACAAACGTATCACAGAGCTTGAGTCAAGACTTCAATTCCATTAACAATTTATGGCAGCATGTGCACAGTTTAATAGAGTCGGGCTGTGTTCCGCAAGAAAAAGGAGGACCAAGACATAATAAAATCTTTCTTACAACAAGACAAGAATGATGACTATAAATTACATGCAATTAATTTAGAAATGCAAAGTGAGTGGTTAATCATAGGTGAATTCTGCATTCCATTAACTCTGAAGTTGCGCACTTTACTACATGATTGGTCACCTGCTCTACTAAAATTCTATCTAAATGCCTTCTTAATGACCCTCCCAGACTAGAGTAACCTAGTAATATGGGGGAAAGGCCCTGAAAAATCGTGCTATACTTGTGGTGAGGCAATAGGTACAGCTGGGCATATATTGGTAGGTTGCAAAGTTCTCCTTGATAGGGGACAATAATCACGTCGCCATGATAGAGTAATTGAAGTCATAAGTGAAGCAGCAAGTCTTGCAGTGGCTAGAGCACAAAAACGATTAACCACAAATAAAAAAAAACTTTATAAAGGCAGGCAAAACTGTTTAATCGAAAAGCAAGCCTTTCTCAATCCTAGGTACTGCACGTAACTGGACTATGTTAATGAATAAATACGAAAAGCACTATAAAGTACCAGAGGATATTGGTGTTGCGTCATCCAGGCCGGACATATTCCTCTTTTCTAAGCACATCAAACATATAGTACTAATAGAATTTACTGTTCTGTGGGAAACTAACATTACACTGGACCACACAATAAAATTGAATAAATATTACGATCTATCCAACGAATTAACAAAAAAAAAACATTAAATTCAATTAAATACAATTAATAATAGAGGCCTACGTACTAAATTGAATACATTTCGTAATAATATAGAATCTTCGTGCGCCGATTTATTTGCAATAACAGAAACGGGATGCAACGAATCTATTCACAATGCGGAAATCGTTCCGCCCGATTATAAAATCCTAAGATGCGATCGAACGGATGGAAGAAAACAAGGCGGCGTTTTTCTCGTGGCCACACACCGGTTGGAACTGCGGAAAGTGAAGCTACCGAGTGACGTCAACATAGATAACTGTGTGTTCGAAATACTCGGCGCGGCAGTGTTTTTAAATAATAGATACTTGTTTTTATGTTGTGTTGTTTACATTCCCCCGGATAGTACAGAAAATGATTATATGATTTTATTCAGAATTATTGAACAATGGTCTGTTAGGTATAAGACAATTATAATTTTAGGTGATTTTAATTTGTATTCTACCAATGAAAATGTAATTAATTACTTTGATTATCTTACAGCTTTCTGTGAACTCGCTCAGTTGAATAGGGTGCCAAATTGTATGGACAGGCAGCTGGATTTAGTGTTGTGTTCGGAGAGCATAGCGGATGGTAGTGAGGTACGCAGGGCGGATGAGGCTCTTGTGCCGGTGGATTCTTATCACCCGCCTCTCGCCGTGAGTGTGCGGTTTGACCGGCGGCGTGGTGCGCTGTTATCGCCGCTCCCGTTGGCGCCGTCATGTACTTCATGCGAAGATTTTCAACAATGGAACTTTACTAAAGCTGATTATAGTGTATTGTATCCGTTGCTAGCTGACATTGATTGGAAGTTATTGTACATTATGCGAAATCCAGATGACGCGGTGAATTATTTTTATGCTTCTGTAAATGACGTATTTAATAAATGCGTACCTAGCAAGAGGCCTCGTAAAGAAACCGGTAGGTATAGGTATCCGGAGTGGTACTCAGTAGATATAATAAAAACAATAAAATTGAAAGCAAAACTCCATAAAGAGTTCAAATCTAATAAAACATCAGAAAACTACGCATCCTTTTCTAAATGCAGGGCTAAGGTAAAGGAAATGATAACTCTGGCGCACGGTGCATACACAAATAGGGTTCAGTGTAACTTAGCAAAAGATCCAAAGTCTTTCTGGGATTATGTGAGATCACAAAAGGGTACAGTGAATCGCAAAAAGATTACCAAAAATGGAACTTTTTTACCAGATTCTGAATGTGCAAATCAGTTCGCAAAATATTTCCATTCTGTATACGGTAATGAACCCGCCAAGCTAGACGTGGCGGAGGCAACAGCAGCCAGCGGGGCGAGTGCCGCTCGTATTCACGTCCCACAGCTCACGCTGCGCGAGGTAAGAGAGGCAATGGTGCGGTTAAAGCCGAAGCGTTCCGCAGGACCTGACGGCATCCCTTCTTTTGTCGTCAGAGACTGCCGGGCTGTTCTGGCGGAGCCACTCTTGCATATATTTAATATATGCTTAGAGGCATCTTATTTTCCGAAATGCTGGAAAACCACACGGGTTGTGCCTATACCTAAAAGTGATGGGGGATCGGAAGTAAATGGGTTTAGGCCTATCGCGATTCTATCGACGCCGGCAAAAGTATTTGAAGGCGCATTGCAGCGGAGCATTCAGTTGCAGGTATCAGCTCAATTATCTAACGAGCAACACGGGTTCAGGCCTGAACGCAGCACTACCAGCAACTTAATGAACGCGATGACCTACATTGTACCTCGTGTGGACGCAGGAGAGCAAGTTGACGTCGCCTACTTCGACTACAAAAAAGCGTTCGATCTTGTCGCTAACGACGTATTGTTGGCGAAGTTGGCTGGGGTCGGTTGCACTAATCAACTCCTTAATTTCTTTGTAAGTTACATGAGGGATCGAATGCAGTATGTGGAGTATGCTGGGTATAAATCTGAGTCCTATTTTACCAGAACTGGGGTGAGTCAGGGCAGCAACCTAGGCCCATTAGAATTTATCGTTATGATAAATGACCTGCCAGAAGTGGTCAAGTATGCTCGATGTTTACTTTTCGCAGATGATCTGAAATTGTTGTGGGCCGTTAAGGACTACGAGGATTGTGAACGGTTACAAGGAGACATTGACAGGGTGGTGGAGTGGAGTCGAAAAAATAAACTGCAGTTTAATACTAACAAATGCTCCATAATATCTTTTAGTAGAGCACAAACTCCGCTCCACTTCGACTACAAAATTGAAAATTCAAAATTACATAGGACAGAGACAGTCAGAGATTTGGGAGTACAATTAAATCACAAATTGAATTTTAAAGATCATATTACGAATATTTGTAAAAAAGCTTACAGAACTTTGGGTTTTGTTTTGCGTCATTCAGTAGGTTTTACGAATATGAAAGCGATTGCGGCCCTGTATAATGCGCATATACGAAGTCAGCTCGAATTCAACGCGATAGTATGGGCTCCACACGAAACAAAGTATAGACAAATGATGGAGCGCATACAAAATAAATACACGAGATACTTATACCTAAAGTTATACGGAGTGTACCCTTTCTATCCGTTGATGTACCCAACCTTGTTCGTATTGGGCATGGTCGGTTACAACAAGTTGGAGACAAGAAGGGAATTGGCACTCGCTGATTACATAGTCAGGGTGTTGCGAGGCATTACCTGCAACCCAAATATATTAGGATTGCTAAATTTATGCGTGCCTGATAGATACGTGTGGCGGCGCCGG